ACAGGCGTAAAATAAATACTATCATGATTTGCTTTTCTATTCTTCCGAACAATTCAGTTAGCTCCAAATAATTTTGGTACTTTGTGCTGGCTTACGAACTGAGATATATAGTGCCTTGAATTTGTTTCAGCGGCCACACGCCCTCCTACCGACAAATCTTTGAGGCCGGATGACGAACAAGTACTGTGGCGTTTCGACTGAATGAGTAGCGCTAGAAGATTTCATCAAGGTGGTTCAAGTTTCAATCATTTCGCCCAGGCTTGCTTTCAACGGATCTGCGGGGCAGGAGCTTTTATCCTACACATTTCCCTGGACCCCTTTCCCCAGCTCGTGTCCTCGATTCGGAATATAACGCGGGCTTGAAGTTCGTTGAACTTGAACGCATTTGGCACGCGCCTATCACGTGCCTGCTGCCGAAAAGTCACCGACGCGTTACGTCACGTCACATATCTCTTCTTTTCCTCCACCCACCTTGCATTCTGCTCTCTTTCGGGTTTCCAGTAATACACGCCCTATTCACGCCCACCCTGGAAATGGCACTCGCTCGTTTAGCCTCCATGCCTCCCGAGTTGAAACTTATGACTTGTACGCGTCGCGGTTCCCTATTCTCTTCCTTCTCTCTTTTTTTTCTCCTTTCGAGCTGACCAGAGCTTGCTGTGAAGACTATCACATTGAAATTCCGGACCTCCTCGCCCTCAGTCACGTCTCCCGATTTTGGAGAGCTCTCGTACTCGGAGATAGACGTTGGGATGAGTGGTTTGATGTACGCCTTTCACTCTCGCTGATGATCGATTTCAATATTCTCTATCTAGATGATAATGAATCCTGACTCCAATGTCAGTGCACGAGAGCTTTTGTCCCATTTGCAGGTCTTGAACTCTATTCCTAAACGGCAAGTGCGGGTTTATCAGATATCAGATGTAACTCATTCACTCCTGCAGCACGATCGTGAACCTATGCTTCGACACGAAATGTAGCGACTGCGCTACAGACACATCCAACCTATTTCTCCCTCTTCTGAAGGTACATGGTTTGAAGTTCCTTCCTTCCAAGGCTGAACTACCCACAGCGCATTTGCGACGATTGCATTAATCCCGAGGAGCACTCTGTAATGGCCATTTCCGCCGCCCTCAAGACGTTCGACCTTAGCGAAAAAGATCTCGTAGGCATCGTCATTCTGTCCGTCGCAACCACATTCCTTCCTTCTCCGCTAACGCGACTACCAGAAACCCGCACTGTAGGCAAGTCAAGTTGGTGAGTGCATTGGCTGTGAAAAACGTGTATGTACCCGGCTCTCCCTTCTCTCCCTTCGGTCCATCGAGCATCGAATTTGAACTCTAACAGCGCGATCGCGAAATTCGGCGGCGAAGATCACCTGGAAAATCATCTTCAGACCCGCAAAACGCGGTCCCGCCAAGCATACGAAGCCCGCATTGCCGAGTACAACGCCGCCACGAAGGTCCGAGACAGCCTCAAAGCCACGGGCGACCTCGTCGGCGCCGCAGCCGTAACTCTCAAGAACAAGAAGCAGATCCCGAAGACGCGCCCCAAGATGCCCGCAATCCTGAAGACGTCCCACACGCCGCTCCTCTACACAGACCTATCCATCATGTCCACGAACTTCCTCGCCGTCGAAGACGCTACTACCGTCGTCGCGTACGCGCTGCTCCGCTGCGAGGTGTGTGTCCTCATGTGGGAGCTGGACCCGGCGCCGACGCCGAGCGCGGTTCCGGACCTGATGCACCCCGCGCTGCTCCCCGCGCACGAGCGGGCAGTACACCACCTGCGGCGCGGCGATCGGTGCAGGGGGTCGCCGACGGGTATCTGCAAGCCGTGCCTGAATCGTATGGCGCTCGGGATCAAGGAGGACCGGGACGCGCTCAGGACCGCGACTTCATCTTCTTAGCCGCAGGTGGGGTTTCTGGTTCACTCGTTTCGTTTGAGTATTGACCGCCCTGGTCCCTCAGTTATCGCTTCTGGATCTCTCACACCTGCACCTCGTCTCGGGCACAGCATCGAACGACCGAATTCCATCCCGCTCAACTCATCTCATCCAAATCCTCTCGCATCGCTTGCCGCTCTCTTCGCGGTCGCAATCACCACCGGCTCTGCCTGCCTTCTCCTCCCTCGTGTTCCCAACGCACTCTTCGAACACCTGCATTTCTCCTTCAACAACTCAACTCGTGCCTCGGACACCTGCATTTTTTCCCCCCAACCTCGTCTCATGAACGCATGGAGGACTCGTTCCTCGTCACTCGTATTGTTACGCACGCACTTTGTTTTTTCCTTCATCGGAATCGGCCTTCAACTCGGACTCGCAATTTTCTCGCCCCGGTATATGTCTGTACGCATGGATGGTCTACATTAGCTTGTGTTTCTCAGCTCTTAATGGATGTATTTCGTGCGGTGCAAGGGATCGACCTGGATCGACCTGTATTTTTATCAGGTGCCACTTGGACCCTACACCTTGTCCGTATTAATCCGTTCCAGGGGTAAGGTTGTTGAAGAACGAGGACCAAGAAAAACTGAGGCTCAAAGGAATGTCGATTATAGTTGGGAGTTATTACAGAAACTCGTAAAATATTTCGTGAATGGACCACTATTAGAACCGTACGTCTATCTATCATCCGAGTCTGCCCGCACATCGATTCAGACAGACTACTTGATCTTCAGGCCCCGCAGCCGTCGCATTACATCGTCCATGTTCTCCACGGCCCCGCCCCACTCGCCCGTCCACCCGTCCTCCTGCCGGTGCAGCGTCTCTCCTGGCTGCGGAGCCATCCGAGACTCGGAGCGCGGGCCATGTTGGTGCGACTCCTCGTAGCTTGGAGGTGCACCCGCGAACGATAGTACTGGCTCTGCATCCGGCTCGGGCGCAGGCACGCTGAAGGCGCGCGACGTCGGGCGCAGCCAGGCGGCCTCGGGGTGCGACAGCGTGTCGGGCGAGAGATTCGGGACGGGGTGGACGTGCACTTCGCCCAGCGGCGAGGTCGCGTCGTCCTCTGTGTCCGCGTCCGCGTGCGCATCGGTTGGGTCCGGCAGGATGAACGAAATGGCACGCCGTAGCGCCTGCGCGCCGCCGTTGAGCGCTGGTCGGCGCGTGCTGCGCGCGTCTTCGTCCACTAGTGCGCCCACCGCTGCGAAGGTTTGCAGCTCGAGCATGGACTCGGGGAGGACGAGCGTGCTTGCGCGCCGCCGGCGTTTGATTTGGGGGTTGGTGGTGAATATGAGCTCGGGGGGGACGGTCTCACCGAGGGTCCGCGAGACCTTGGCGAGGCGCTGGCGGCGGCGATCGGGCTCCTCCAGGGGAGAGGTCGGAAACATGAGCGTCGGGCTGAAGCCCGGGGAGAGCGGCGAGGGAAGGGGCGCGAATGTGTCTGGGACTTGCAGGACGAGCGACGGACGGGGTTCCGGTGTGTGTGGCGCGTCGGATTTTTGGAACGGGAGGGCGAGCGAGGAGAGCGAGGCGGAGGCGTGGAAGAAGAAGCCGCCCCGCTTGCCGGGGGTGGGTGCGAGGAGGTGGGGGGCGGGTGAGGACATTTCGACGACGGGGGTCTCGCCGAGGACGGCGGTGAGTTTCCGTATGGAGCGCATCATACGCAGGCGGTCGGTGTGGGGGATGTCATGGGTCGTCGGCGGGATAGCGGCGACGGCGGGGTCCATTCGGTCGTGGAGGGCGTGGAAGGAGCGTAGAGAGAAAGTAAAAACGGAGCGGTCTACATCGATGACTCTGACGAGGGATTTTCCTCCCGCCACCGGGCCACCGCGTAGATCTACTAAGCGACCATGCTTTCTGCACGCGTTTGAGCTGTTACCCGACATCACGATAAGATGATCCCGACACATCACGACATGTGTCTAGGTCAAGCTTGAAGTTGAGTTCAAGTCAGGATTGCGGGTTCTTCTGGGACACAATTCTTAGCCAATGACGCAATCTACATTCGTGGTCAAAGGTATTCTTTTCTGCGATGTTCCTTATCACCTGTCCTCCACCCCATTCAAGAAGATGATCGCACATAAATACAAATTTTTATCTCCGGTGTTCAGCTCCGTCTCGCTAATCTGTGTCAATCTTCTGCTGAACGGTGCGACGGACGTCTACGGACGTGCGACCATCTATCTTCCATGACGTTATCTAGCGTTCTCTCGACAACCTGCTACAGTCTTCTACGGCCAGGTGACCTTCTTCCGCGGAGCTCAGTTGAGTTTCTGAAGATCCACACATGCGTTTTAGCTCGTTTCAGTCGGTGTTTCAGTTCGAGTTTCATCCTGAATTATGCTAGATATAACTCGAGTCAAATTGTCAACCGCAGGGTTCAGCCTCCTGATATCTCTGCTTGGTCGACAGCGAATGTGTCCTCATAGCGAGCATTGGAGCCATAATGGCGACCGGAATCTAATCCTTGATGCGCCAATACATCAATCGAATAAGCCGACATGTAGACAGCAAAAGCCGAGCTGCCGGCAGCACTGCATTCGTCTCCTTCTCCACCATCCGCTGACTTGGTTAGGACACCTCAACAGACCCGGAAAGACATCCTCTGCAAGAAGAATCTTGGCGCGATGGAGTTTGAACATGAAATCGTCCGCCGTATTCTGAGTCGGGACTCCCGAACTCGGGAGTCTCGACTCGTTGAATACCGAGCGACCGACACCCCCGCCTTGGCATACTTCTCATTATCTCCATGCTGTGGATTTTAAGACGCAGAGTGCTTCTAGGACTTTGGGCGTTTCATGGGAACTGCGGACAACCGCGCGCGCCGCAGCCAGAAAAACGAGTTGCGTAACGTGGCCCGAAATTTCGTGCGTTATCTATCAGTGAGTTCGATTGCCTCACAAGAACGAATACTTGAGTTCAATAATTTGTCTTTTCCCACAGCCCGGCACAATCAGTCTATTTCTATCTCGGTCCCTAACTTCTGTAGGAAACCCAGAACGACTTGTTAGCCCACTCTTACAATTTCACCGACATCTCTGGACTTGACATTTATTGTATGCATTCGGATATGGTGCAAAGGATAGCGCGGGCTCGTGAAATCTCCCATGGGCGGGATGAGAGAGTCAGATCGAGGTTCGATTCCTCGTGTCCGTGGTTTTTATAATTTCGTTTCAGGACACGTTTTATGCTTCGCTGTGAGGCGTGTTACTCGAGCGCCCTCCTGTGTGGACGCCGCCCGAGATATTCCCAGCCGCGTTCGGGAACTAGGGCGCTCTTAATTCTTACGGTACAGTACTATTCATTCAATCATTCATACCACTAATACAATCAACGCTTATCTGAATCTACATAGGAATAGGGAAATGCCCTATAATCATACCCGGTCCAGCCGAAATCCACGGGAAGGTCCAGGTCCAGTCCATCCTCTGACGAGACCGAACCCGAATTCCTACTTGTACTGCAACATTCCCCCTGCGCAGAGGGCTCCAACGGTGTCGAAAAGTCGTCGAAAAGCGCGAAGTAGTCGTCGAGTGACATGGGTGCGTCCGGTGTCATTTTCTTAGCAAGCTCGGGCCTCCTTTGCTCTGTAAGGAGGTGGGGAATTGGCTGTGCGGGCCATGTCTCCTCGTACGACGATCTCCAATGCCGCCGGGAAATAGGCGGGGTGAAATCGTAACTCTGCGCCAAGGGGCGGGCGGATTTTATCGGAGGTGGCGGTGGGGTGGGACTGGGAATAGAGCGCGCGCTCTGCGGTGTGACCTGACGGCGCACGGGGTGTGGGAGCAGCGCGGGCTGATATATGTGCCCAGGGAGCGCACGATACTCGCACAGGTGCGGCCGGGATCCCTTCGTGCATGTCCTGAAATGGGATGGCTCCTCGTCAATAAAACAGATTGGACGATCAAATCCGACTGGCACGCACACGCAGGGGAACTTGCCGTCGCATTTCTACGATCCGATTAAATAAAATACAACTTTGGCCTATTAAACGCAGTGCGCACCCTCTTTCTTTCTCTACATGCATTCATTAGCCCAGGAAACGGAATAACGAACAAAATACCCACCGACATTGCGTACATGCGGCACCCTTAGGCAGCTCAAGGCGCCGTTGGCCCGGGTGTCCGGGTTGGTATTCACACTTCAGTTGGGATCGTGCACGCGAACAAGGCGTGCAGGGACTTTGTCCGTCGCAGCGCTGCTCAGTCCCTTGTTGAATATTTTTCCTGCACAATGGCCACAACTTACGCACTAATTTGCGCTGGCGGCACGGTATGCACGCGGAAGATTTGAGTTTGGGGTGGTGGGTAGAGTTCGACATGCGCTGAGAGTGAGAGGAGGTTGGGTCGTCAGAGAAATCGTCAGTCGCCCCACCGACCAATTTAATGGATGCGCTCTTACACGAGTACACCGAGCACTCCGCAAAAGTCCATTCACGAGGTAATATCGTTGCGGTGTTGCGTCTACTGGTACGGAATCGGCCATTTCGGAAGAGGTATGTCCTCGTATTTGATTCGCTTAATTCGCAGCCTCCGCTTGAAGCCGGCTTCGACTTGACGCGTGTACAGTGTCACTTTTGGGAGCGGAATGTGACTCGCATTGACGACGGCGTCTGACTCTCGATACATTCAGGAGGTAGAAGCTCTGGCCACTACCTCAATGCCTAGTATTCCTGATTGTGGCCGCTTGTGATTGAAAGCCTGGGTTCATATATTGTAAAGAACGCGAAAATCGGTCCATAAATTCTTGGCGACCTTGGCGCGACTGCACGGTTGGTATAGTTCGTTTTTGTGGAGTGGTAAATCAATTACTCAAGTTCGGTCAGATATATTCACCGCGGTTGTGGATGTGGACACTGTCAGAGATCGTCGGGGAATTCCCAAACTCGGCACGGCTAGTTTGATGATCCTAGTACACAGCCCATTCATTTGCGGCTACTGTGGAAGAGTGTGAGCTCACTGGAAAATCGGAAGAATTACACGTATGCCTGCTTTAAATGGAGCTTCGTCGAACGAATTTGTTTGGCAGCCTTCGGTGAAAGCTGGACTCTAAGGACCTGCAGAGAAGACAGATTTGAAGCCCGAAACGATTTTCTAACCCAGGGCTGTGGCCTCGGGTCCAGGACACATAGCCACCGGATCGACTTTTTGGACGTTCGTTCCTGGCATTCCTGGAGAGGATTGGCTATGATTCGAGAATCCGGGGATCAAAACTTGCGGTACCTTCGCTGCCGTAAATTCGTTGAAGAAGGACCGAAGATAAAGCAGCTGCCCCTTTCATCCATCGGAAATCGAGTTGTAGTCAAGACAGAAGATGTTGCTTTAACCGTAGTACGCAATAGAAAGCCTTTCTCCAGAGAATGTAAAATTTGCTAACTTTCAAAGGAGTCGCAGCCCAAGCATTGGAGCATGTTTCAAACTATCAACTTTGTTCCAAGTCAGTTCTCTGTGATGCTGTGATCGATCCCCATTTAGCTCCGACAATCCCGAACGGGTCCGATGTTCGTTTGAAATTTAAGTGGATCAGCGCTGACCGCGCCAGCGCTGCAACTTGCCTCCGTCTGGTCTCCAACCCCCCATATCGAGGCATGGACCAACGCCGGCTGTGCGAATGCGCGGCTGTATTTTCCACCAACCAAGTTCAAACGGCCGCAACTCTGCGAACCATCACCTTAAGCAAACATCCGGCCTTACGCTCGCAGAGAAGCTCCATCACAGACGGGGGACCCCGCGAAAACTCATCCACGGACGACCCTCCGGCCTGTATCGACCCTTTACGATCGTAGTCATAGGCGTTCGCCAGAGATATCCCCGAACCATCATCGCCGTTCGATGCCCTCGGAACCTTTAGCATAAAGAAGAGGTGTATTCTGGCACAGTCCCGTTAACAAACAGCCGGAGACGTTACCGTACTCCCCCTCTACTTATCCTCCAGGGCCAGGAACGCTCATTTTGTTTGGGTACAGCGCAACCCGGCTGTGCGTTTCGATGTCAAAGCATGATGTTCAAGTTGTCCTTCAACAACCAAGTTCTAACCTCTTGGGTGCTCAAGAAACGTATCAGAGGCAGCAGACCTGCGTTAAGTCCGCCTTTTGATAGCTAGATCTGTCGCTTTGTTTGCAACCTCCTTCGGCATGGGTGATCCGATCTCAAGGCCGTCGATTGCCGCCTCGTCATGCCGAGGTTCCGTTGATTTCTGTAACAAACAGCTGGTCGGCGGTACGGCATTGCCGATCGACGTGAAATGGCTTCCAGGCCCGGCGTTACTTGCTAGTTAATGATGCATTCTTCTCATTTCTGTGTGATCTCCACGCCGGTCAATTAGTTCTGCGCCGCTGCACACATCAATCAATTCTGCTCGCTATCAAACGAAGTCAAAAACGGTACTCTTTATGCGGTACCCGGAGTTTACCCTCGGCTTCCCGGTCTTCTTGAAAATTCCAACTAGCCCCATGCCGCAGTAGTCCCAAGACCAAATGATAGCCTGCTGCGGCACTATCAGCTTCATTTGGCGGCCCATGTGCTAGACACGATACGATCTATCTTCGGGTTATTGATCCCTTGAGCGTCTCGAGATTCAAAGCGATCGGGGGGACCTGGAGTAGATCATGTTTGCTGTGCACCCGTTTAACAAGCGAGGTACGAGCTGTATCTTTATTCAGGCATATGTCTACAAGAGACCACTGCACCCGTAGGTCGGACTTTGTGCACCCGTAGACCCGACCGTTGACGCCTAGTTGGCTTGGGAGTTTGAGCTTGGAGAATCCCGTTCAGCCGTGACGACGGTGGTTAATAATAATCGAAAGTTAATATACTAGTAGGTCATGGAGATCAATTTCGCAGAAAGATCAACGGCGTCTTGGCAGCCGCCTGGACAAGATTAATATCGTTCATTAGCACGCGTTGTGGCAGAAGGACTCTGAGCCTAATACTGAGACATATTATCCCTCGCACAATCAAGTTGGCTCACCTTGGTGGTTCAACTGCCCCTAGAGGAACAAAAATGTTCGAACTTCCATACTGCGACAGCTCTTATAAATGCCTCAGCGGCAATGTTTATATTTCGACTTGGAGGCTAGAGAGCAATGGGGAAGATTACACAGCATTGAGTCCCAAATCTCACCTGAATCTACTAAAAATCCCTACCTTTTAGGTAAAGGTTTTAGTATTCCACGAAACCTTGGTGTCAATGATGTCGGCCCGTCTATCCAAAGTCCGTCGATCCGCTTAGTGTTACTAACGGGGGGCGTGTGGAGCCGGTATCTCTTACGTTCATATTGCGTACCGTACGCAATTAATTTGGTGACTACCTTTCCATTCGAGGGAAATATCACATCAGCCTTTCCTTGATTTTTCTGGCAGTGCGGTTAGACCTGCTGTAAATACGCTTTTCTGCGGAAGATCTGGTAACAAAGACCACAGCACGACGCAGGACAGGTCTAAGCAGCCACCCCATCTCACACGGATCACTCACATTGCGTGTATTGGTCCGTGCCAGTACCGTGAATCAGGAATCCAGGGATCGCTTAAATAGGCCTTCATTACAGGTTGCTTCCACACACACACTCTCCACCGTCAGGTGGGTGCTACCCTCACTTCTCATGACGAACAACCATTGGGTTTGGCGAGATTCTCATATGGAACAATCCTGGTCCGCATTTAAAGACCTTGAGGACGACGGGCGGCCTCGCTCTCAGATCCACAACTTCACAGTACTGCAGGGCTGCGAGGGAGGTGGCGGTTTTGAGTCGGTTCCGAATTCAACTTTGGGGCAATCATCCTTCGGTGGGACATGTGGGATCTTTCTATATTGATACGATGACATTCTTACTGAGCATTGTCGGTAGGCAGCCGGGACCTTCGGGAGCAGTTTCCCTGGCAAGAAGTCCCAAATCAGAGCAACATCCACGCCCGGAATCCGGAATGGAGTGATGACATTCGGGATAATTCGAGTCGCCGTCGCGCCTCGTCCTACTACGAGACAGAAACCCTATATCCGTCAAGCGCTGACGTTTCCAACCATGTGGAACTCGGCCACGGCTCGCTGTCTCCTTACCTCAGCCTGGACGGGCATCGTCGTGCATATTCGGACACTGCGATCCACAGCGTTGCCCGGCATAGTCAGTTGCTCTCCCCTACAGAGCCCGCGTTTATAAT